CAGCTAACCCGTGATGGAGCCCGAGTGCCAGGTAAATCCTTCTTCGAGCTTAAGGAGTACGTCGAAAACCTGCCAAATCCACCTATTGATGATACCTAAGCATTCTGTATCGTTTCCAAACTGGATCCCCGTGGCGATTACTACGCTTTCTTCAGCTGTATAGCTCTTCTCCGCCAGCCCGGTAAGTCCCCCATACTGGTGGGGGATTATACCCGTAGTCTTTTATGGGTTAGCATACAAATACTGCTCATAGGCTCCCACTCGCCAAGAGGAAATTTTCAACTCTTGGCAGTGGGATATACTAGTAGAGAAGACACAACCCATGTTCAAGCAGGGCTGACCGCGATTATCGCGGCGCGATAGCGGCATGGTGTACTAACTTAGTACTACTAAGGCTTAGTAACTAAGCTGAATATAACTCGCCCTTTATTCTGATAGCCGATTCCGCTGGCTGCTCCGACTGTGCTTTCGAAAATGTAAGCGTTACACAACATTGACGAACGCAACGCTTTTGCTATCGGTACGTTGGCCATTCAGACCCGATTCTCGGGACGGAAATTGGAATCGGGAATTGGACTCCGGATCACCCCTCGTGAAGTTTTCTGTCAATTATTCAATGCTCGACCTCGTACACATCTTGACGTCATTCTCCGGGAGCGACTCATCTCACAGGTGTGTGGGTGGCATGTGCAGTGTGGGAATATATGCACATGGTTAACTACATGTGTTGCTGAAAATATGGAAATTTTGATAAAATTTTGAGAAATTATCGTTCGTTTTTGTGCATTTCTACCCAAAATCATGTGGATTTTCACAATATAGTGAGGAAATTCACGAACTCAGTTGAGGGAACCAAACGTATAATCCCACACTGGATGAATGACTTGTGTGCATGATGAGAGTTTTGGAAAGGTTGCATATTATCAGACAGCGTGTCCGAGTGGTTAAGGAGGTGGACTCGAAATCCACTAGGCTCTGCCTGCGCAGGTTCGAATCCTGCCGCTGTCGTTAGATTTGTGGCTTCGACTATTGGATATTTTAGTACTGCTTCTGATTCGGACTAGTTCTGAAACTCAGAATCAATTCTCAAGCTCAATAGCGCTTGTTTCATGCGATTCCATCAGTGTTGGAATATACGCACATGGTCAATTACATGTGTTGGTGACAATATGAAAATTATTAGAGGAATATTTGGGAAACTATCTTTGGTTTTTGTATACTTCTACCCCTAGTTATAGATTTTTATAACGTAGTGAGGAAACTCTCGAACTCAGCTGAGAAAACCAAAGATATAATGCCACATCGGATTCTATAGTCAGTTCGAAAATTCAAAATCAGTTTGCCGTAAATCTCCAACAACGTATTCGATATGGTTTCCTTGTCACGCTCAGCCATCATCAACATCACAACGAAGTCGGTATGATTATGAATGCCAAGGCCAAGGACCTCGGAGGGCTTCTCGACCGACCACTCGATGGAGATAGCTGTGTTATACCCAAACATTTGGCAGAGTACGCTCTAATTCGAAACGCGAATACGAACTCATGTGCCCTATACTTACATCACAATATCGGAACGGTATAACTCAAATCTGCCTCACCAATGCAGTGAAATCGAATCATTGTTGAAGTGATCAGTTCTGATCGTTTCAATGAAACTACTGCTATAACGTCACTCCCAGATATATAGTCCAAGTTCAAACACCGCTGAAGCAATTCCACGTCAGAGGAGATTCTGGATCATCCGAGCCCTTTGATAGTGGCACAGACGGTCCGATCTACATACAGCTCCATGGCTATGATAAACACTACGACTACCATACGTGTAGGCATCTATCAGACAACATTGAAACTCGGCAGGGCTTCACGCGCAGTGCTAATCCCTGTGTACAGATCAAATCTGTGAAATCGTTACCGAAAATCTCTCGCCTACACAAACCTCTAATCGCACCTTTTTTCGTATAGTCGGAGGCAACACGAAAATAGTACTAGAATTTTACGCTTTTCTCGACAACTAATATCAGGTTGTATCCCCGCGTTCAAATAGGACATTTAATCATCTCCCCCCATGAACCCAGGGGATTCAGGTTCGGGATGGTACTTGCTGAAGCAGCACTTGAAGGCTGGTCGCCATTACGCTGTATCCATACTCGGTCCTGATGTTGGTCCGGTGAAACAAATAGATCTTCATAACCCTACTGATGATGATTGGTGAGTGAGGAGGGCCTCCTCAGGAGGCACTTTATATAAGCAGTGTTGGAGAGATATATGCTCGCTCTTCTCAGCTGAGTTCAGGAGTTTCCACAAGCTAATTCTTGAAACTTACATAGGATTCAGGGTTGAGATATTTTTCCATGATCGATTCTGAGCATCTTCCTTTCAGGTTCGCAGGGACAGTCCTCATCAAAAGATTCACTCCAGAGGGGAGCAATGGGAGAAACGCGATGCACAGCGACGCTTGGGTGGAGTTCAAAGTGATTATATTCCATACCGCACTTGACACATCGTATAGTGAATAAGTGGTTAGTTCACCTGACCACCCGAGCAGTCAGTGGTGCGATCAGCGA